TACTCTGTAAATCTTCACCCAAATCCTAATAAAAAAAATAAATAAAAATAAAAGATATATATAGGGGAAATAAAAGCAGAAGTACTACCATTAAATAATAGGGAAAGGTATCAATATCTATAGTAATCACACAATGAAATTATGATAACAATAAGTGAAAATTATTTAAATGATAATGTACAGTGATATGAGGGCTTAGTGAAATGGGCATTTTCATTTTGTTGATGGCATCTTGTCTTGCTACAACACTTTCAGAAAGCAGATTGGCATTGTGTATCAGGAGCCTTTAAGATGGTCATCCCATTTGACTCAGAAGTCACAGTTAATTGAAGACATTCACAGAAAATAAATCCTAAATATGGATAAAATTACATAGGCTTAAAGATGTTTCCTGAAATATATTTGTCATAAATAGTAAACAAGTTGAAACAACCTAAATGTCCAGTATTCTCTTAATAGCTAAGTAGACTAGTATACATTATTTTATAGAATATGAGGCAGTCTTTAGAATGATTTTTAAACAAAACTATTTAATTATTAGAAAATGTATTACGATATGTTAAATCTTAAAATCAGTATCTAATGATAGTATTGCAGCTTTATTTGGTTCATCTTTTTCAACTTACTGGAGCCAAAGATTCTTTTTAATGTAATAAAAAATAATAACCACAGTCTGTTATATTTTTTTTGTATGATTAGAACTGTATTTAAAATTGGCAAGTGTACAAAAATGCATTTTTTTCTGTTATTTTAGTAATGTGTTAATAAATTTATTTGTGTGTGTATATATATATATATATATACATATATACACAAACATACAGATACATATGCATATATACACATGCATACACACATATAGGAGCTCTGGTAGCGTAGTGCCAAAGGTTCTAACTAGAAGACTGGCGGTTCAAACCCACCAGCTACTCCTTGGAAGGAAGATGGGGCAATCTGCTTCCGTAGTGATACTGCCTCGGAAACCCAAGGAGGGGTTGCTATAAGTTGGGTCCAACTTGACGGCACATAACAACAACAACAACATACAAACCTGTAAAAACTCAAATTAAACTCACTGCCACTGAGTCTTTTACGACTCATAGAGACACCCTTGGGTTTTCAAGGCAGTAAATCTTTATGGAAGTAGATGGCCCCATCTTCATTCCACAGGGCAACTGGTGGGTTTGAACCAACAGCCTCCAGGTTAGTAGTTAGATGCGTTAGGTACTGTGCCGCCAGAGCGCCTTATACACACATACTGACTTTTCATTTCTTCATGAATACTCGGTAGTTCAATGGGAGAAACGTGAGTTTTAGGACTGGTCTGAAATATATTTCCATTTCTAAACTGGTATTAACTGTCCTTTTTGCTTAGCCCCCATTTTATTTATTTATTTATGTCTTTCTTGCTATAATCCTGGGCATCAGTGCTGTGCTTGGCTGTTTGTTTTTATGTGTTTCATAGAGAATACATATCAGCATATTGTTTAAAGCATTTTCTTTTGTATTGAAAGCCACTAATAACATCAGGCCTTACACATTCTTTTCAGGTTTTAGTATTTTGAAGTATGGTATCTAATTTAAAATTATTTGTTCACAGCTAAATACCAGTGTACCAGATGCATTTTTTTTTTTTGTAAGCATATTATATCTTTAATAGAGACATGTCAGAGTAATGCCATAGCATGAATGCAATCTATTCAAATAATATTAATGATATTAATAAGTATATATTTTTCTTTTTTTAAGTCATTACTAAGAAGTCCAGAAGTAGTGCACTTTTTACAGAAACAGCAACAACTATTAAGTCAGCAAGTTTTGGAACAAAGACAGCAGCAGTTTCCAGGAGCACCGGTGTGAGGGAACTTATCAAGAGCATCTGCATGTTTTTTATCTTAATGTAGTAGATGAACATATTTTTATACTAAAGTGAAATCGGTAAGATATGCCAGTGGAAAATAAACAATCATTTTCCTATAAATGTGTGTGTGCATTTGGGGATAAATTTGTGTTGCACTTTGTGCATCTAAGCCTTTCAGTTTACCATGTGTTTAAAGAAATCAGCTTATCTTTCCAAAATAACATTTAATTACAATGTTCTTTTAAACAAAATGTTCCTCTTCAGTCATTGTTACTGAAGGTAATGAAGTGGTTACTTTCTGT